ACAGCCTCCACGGGGTATAGTGTAAACTCCTGCATTGACTGGTTGGGGTGCTTGGATTGTGTCCTGGTTAGATCCTTTTTTTGAAGTGCTAGAAGCGATGGCACTCTGGTGTAGCTTGTGAAAGTACTTTTGAACGTTCAGTGCAACCTGGCTGTTGGGAAGAATTATAACTTTGTTGGGAGTTGTGTTGATGCGTGGAGAATTAATGTCTGAAGAGCTCTTTTCTTGCAGTCTTTGATGAAAAAAGGAGGAAAATTAACTCGTGAAGTTTTGGTGAATATATGTAATTCCTCTCAAGAAACTCAGGACTGCAAATTCGGTATGCTCTTAGGAAAAACCCAATGATGATGCCTCTTTTGGTCTTGGTATCTTGACTGGAATAGAAGTGTGTGAGATCATTTTTATTGGTGGGTTTCCGATAAACTTGAAATCTTAGGTTTTTGTCTACTTTGTGAATGAGGACGTCGAGGAAAGGGAGCTTGGGCGTTGGACTCTTCTTCTAGTGTAAACTGGATCGCCGGGTTTAACTGCGTTGAGCCCTTTCCTGAAGCTCACCAAAGATTTTCTATACAAAACCGACAAATACTCAAATGCACTAGAGAAGGAAGAAAAATTCTGTACTTGTTACCAAGCAACCCTAAACCAGCACACATATGTATGGTTTTTCCCAAGACCCATAAACACAATATTCCTCTCAGACCAATCCGTCAGGAATAGGCAGTGCTCCACACAAACTAGCCGGAGTTCTTGCCAAACACTTTCCATCACCCCGCTCATCTTAAACACTCAGGCGACTTCTCAACCGCATCCGTAACAAAGAAACTAAGCAGTTTGGATGTGACTTCCCTCTTCACAAAAATACCTACCAAAAAAACCATCGAGGTTCTCCGACGCAAAGTCAATCAGGACCTTAATCTTCCTCTACCTCCCGGAGATTTTTGTTGACTTGATTGAACTCTGTGTTAATTTCAACTGTTTTTTTTCAATAACAAGCTCTACAAACAAACCTACGGCATGGGAATGGGGTTCCCCCATAAGTGCCGTCCTAGCCAACTTATACATGGGAAAACCTAGAGTCCGAACCTTTCGCCAACATCATCCCTTCAAGCGTCACTTTGGGTTTCGTTACTGGACGATGTCCTCGTAATAACTCCAAAACGTTTTGATGTACTGGACTTCAGGCAAGGCTCAACGCAGTTGAACCGGCGATCCAGTTTACACTAGGAAGAAGATCCAACGACAAGCTACCTTTCCTCGACGTCCTCATTCACAAAGTAACAACAACCTAGATTCAAGTTTATCAGAAACCCACCAATAAAAATGATCTCACACACTTCTATTCCAGTCAAGATACCAAGACCAAAAGAGGCATCATAATCGGGTTTTTTTCCCAAAGAGCATACTGAATTGCAGTCCTGATTTCTTGACGAGGAATGACATATAAATTTACCAAACATTCACTGAGTTACATTTTCCTCCTTTTTTCATCAAAGACTGCAAGAAAAGACTCTTCAGATCATTAATTCTCCACGCATCAACACAACTCCCAACAAAGTTATAATTCTTCCCAACGGCCAGGGTTTCACTGAACGTCTCAAAAGTACTTTCACAAACTAACACCAGAGTCGCCTCGCTTCTAAACACTTCAATAAAGGATCTAACCAGGACAAATCCAAGCACCACGAACCAATCAATGCAGAGTTTCCCCTATACCCTGTGGAGGCTGTGACAATTTACGTAGGTGAAACAGCAAGAAAACCTCGACACCCCGCCTCAATGAACACATTTACGCATGTAGGAAGAAACTTGAACAACGCCTTGTACAACACCGAAATTCCACCAGTCATCTCATGAAATTCAGAGACGCCCAATTAGTGATCAAAGAAACTAATTTCCGCAGACGCAAGTGCCTCGAATCAGCACTGATCGCTGTTTCGAATACAATTAAACAAAACAACGGCAGCTTCACCATCTCCAAAGTCTTAGCAAGAATCCTCCTGAAAACAGTAAACCCTGCTATCACATAGTCTCTCTTGTTATACTACACAAAGCACATTACAGAGAGTGAACACTGAAACAAGCTGCCTCTTTCCAGTCTATATTTGTCCAACCTATTTTTATGTTACCCAAGTAATAGCTTTTATATCCTTTTACTCTTGTACGAATCAATTGCTCTATCAAATTGTATTACTTTTGTCACTACTACTACTACTACTACTACTACCACTACCACTAGTGAACATCGAAATGGTACCTCACTAGTATTGCACCTCACTCTGAGCCTTTATATACTGTGTCCATGTATTGTTTGTAATAGCTCGATAAAGCTCCTGGAGAGCGAAACGTTGCCACAATAAATGTCACATTAGTTGCACTTGTGTCCTTTTACTTTACATACTTATGTTCTTATGTTCATCAACCATTATCACAACTGCTTCCACTCCACCACCACCATCTTTGTATTTTTCTACAAACTTTTTCATAAATTATGTGTTCCTCACATTCTTTACCAAAGGGCTGGCACTAGAAGCTTTCTTTGGTGGTAGTGATGGTGATAACAGTTGTAATAGTGGTAGAAGGTCATAGTGATGGTGGTAGAGGGTTCCTTCTTCAGTGATTCAGCGATTCTACCAACTCCTCCAATGTTGTTGGAGTTATATAGGGCTACAGAAAACACCGCCACCTCACCACCATTATGGACGGCTTTACACTCAGTGGCCCTTATATACCCAACAACACAACACAACACAACACCTCTCGTGACATACGTAATGACTTATTTTATTCATTCTAGAGTATATTCCATGTTTCTATTGTTTATATTGTTTATTAATCATATTAGTTGAATTGTGATAGATAAATAAGCCATAGAGTTGATATTAGTGTCATATCTCCAACAATAAACTTGCCATCCTTCCCTCACACAAACAAATAGCCATAAGAACATAATGGAAGAACACTGCAGGTCTACTGGCCCATACAAGACCTCTACCCAAAGCTACCCAAGAATTTACTCCCGTACCCAATGACACAAATCAAACTCAGCTCCTCCAACTCATATTTTTTGTCCAATCTCTTCTTAAACTACCCAAGGTCCTAGCCTCGTCACCCTACTGGTAAGTGTGATGTTAAATAAGACTTAAGAAAGTAGGAACATTGGAACAGGCCTGCGGGCCTATACTAGCCAGTCCTTCACAAATCCAACCTACTAACAGAACAAATGCTACCCAAGCAATAAGCTCAGGCACAAGTCCAACTCAAATCCAACCCCTTTCACTCGTGTATTTATCCAACCTAAACTTGAAACTACCCAAGCCATAGGTTTTTAGAAATTGGAAAGGAGGAACACTGCAATAAGCCTTTTTGGCCCATACTAGGCGGTCCTTCACAAATCCAACCCACTAACAGAACAAAGCTACCCAAGCAATAAACTCAGGTGCAAGTTCCGACTCAAATCCAACCCCTTTCACTCGTGTATTTATCCAACCTAAATTTGAAACTACCCAAGCCATAGCTTTTAGAACATTGGAAAGGAGGAACACTGCAATAAGCCTCTTGGCCCATTTTTGGGCCCGGGTCCTTCACAAATCCAACCCACTAAACAGAACAAATGCTACCCAAGCAATAAGCCGGGTGCAAGTCTGACTCAAACCAACCCCTCTTACTCGTGTATTTATCCAACCTAAATTTGAAACAAACCCAATTTTTTAGCTTCGATCACCCACTAGGCAGACCGTTCCACCATCAACTACCCCTATTACCAATGTTCATTTATACATTTTATTAGTGCCCTAGAGTCCTTATGGAGGGGGATTCCCCTTCCAAATAACCTCTCTTCCCTCTCCTCCTCCCTTCTTCCATTCATCACAACACCTTCAAAAAAGGAACTGTCATGTTGAATGTTCTTTCTTTTGTGCATGTAAATCTATCTTTTAGGTAAAAAAAAATTGTTGATACTCCTGGGTGTCTGGAACGAATTAATTGGATTTACATTATTTCCTTATAGGTAGTAGGTTGGTAGACAGCAACCGCCCAGGGAGGTACTACCGTCCTGCCAAGTGAGTGTAAAACGAAAGCCTGTAATTGTTTTACATGATGGTAGGATTGCTGGGGTCCTTTTTTCTGTCTCATGAACATGCAAGATTTCAGGTACGTCTTGCTACTTCTACTTACACTTAGGTCACACTACACATACATGTACAAGCACATATATACACACCCCTCTGGGTTTTCTTCTATTTTCTTTCTAGTTCTTATTCTTGTTTATTTCCTCTTATCTCCATGGGGAAGTGGAACAGAATTCTTCCTCCGTAACCATGCGTGTTGTAAGAGGCGACTAAAATGCCAGGAGCAAGGGGCTAGTAAAACCCCCTTTTTCTGTATATATTACTAAATGTGAAAGGAGAAACTTTTGTTTTTCCTTTTGGGCCACCCCACCTCGGTGGGACACGGCTGGTGTGTTGAAAGAAAGAAAGACATTATTTCTTATGGGGAAAATTGATTTGAAAATCGTCCATTTCGATAATAGTCCCACTTCCAGGAACGGATTATGGACGATTATTGAGGGACCACTGTATTATACACTTAGGGTGATTGATAAACTGCCCAGCTGATCAGGAACTGATTTAAGTAACTTATCCAGTTCTCTTTTGAAGATAGCCAGGAGCCTGTCTCTGGTTAAAGAGTATAAGTGCCTTAAAGTGTATAATTTACAGGTTTGGCATTTTTTTGTTTTAAAGGGTCTTGTTATGCGTATAATTTTCCTTGTAGTTTTGATAGCACATTACTGCTAATTTAAGGTCTTTTAGCGTACTTACCATAGATCTCTTACAGTCCTTTCTTGATCAAGTTCATAGTAATATTTTACAATACTTCTTTCCTGTAAATGCCTCAATAAAATCATTAAAAAGTGAACAGTAGTAATGATTAGAATGATATCACTACTGCTTTTCGCTTTTGGCTCGATTGGTATTATAACTTAATAGAATTTTATTTTCCAGAACCAGTACGCAAGATTCATATGTTTGAAGGACCTATCCCCAAACATAAGCCTGCCATTGCACCAGCACGAAATCCACCATCCCGAGTTGTGTTGTTTTAAAATTTAGTACGCCCATTCACTATTAATCACTCCGTGAGTTACTTCAGAGGACAGGTCGGCTTGTTGATAATGGATTTTGGATAGATAATATAAAGTCAAAGTGTCTTGCAATGGTAAGTATTAAACAAATAATTTTTTTTTTGTAGTGACTAGTGTTTTTAATTATTCAAGTTAAACTTCTCTCATTTTGTAATGTAAAAGGTCATACAAGTTTTTGAAAAATATTAATATTAAAGGAGAGGTTACTGTAGTTTCTGTAGTTACTAAACTTTGTTTTAATTTCAGTATGAGACAGAGGATCAAGCTCAAGAGACACGTGTAGCTCTGCATGGGGTGAAGTGGCCAGTGTCTAAAAAACCCAAAAAATCTGTTTGTTGATTTTTCCACGAGGTATGAGGAAATTTCACTACCAGTAACTGCTGATAAAAAAATACATAGTCTGTACACAAAGCCCTCCAAATTTACGGGTTACATTCTTTAGAAGTCCTTGTGAATACCACCTAATGCTGTCTGGCTCATTTTGTGCATCCAGTGCCATCTTTGCTTGTTGCTCTAAACTCATTGCTACAGTATTTCATTCATAAAAATCTAAAAGGGAGAAAGTTGGGTATGGAAGAGTCCCCTGAGAACATTTTCACTGAAGTCCTATGGTTTTGGTCATGTACCAAGCCAAAACAAAATGGGTACATTAAAAAAAATAAAAACCTGCTAAAATAGAAATTATTAGA